TTTAATATATTTTTTATTAATGATAGTATTACAGATATCTCCCATTTCCCCCCCTTTACGGTCCCCTCCTCTCAGCGCCTTGGAAAATTATTTTAAAATTGCCCACTCTTCAGTCTCTTACCTCAAAATCAACATAGTGATAATCACTTTTTCATGACCTTCATGAAAAATCTAGTTCAGTATTATTTTTTCACTTTTCATTGGGTTTTGTCTTTGGGAATTCCAGATTTATTTCCTATGGTTAAAGGCTACTGAATAGAATAAAAACATTCAAAAGAAGTGTTATTATTTAAAATAAACTAAAAGTAACATCTTATTATGGCTTATTAGGTGTTTTGCATATTTTTTTAATTTAATTTATACTACAGCCTTAAGCTGCAATTATTATCATCATTTTACAGAGAGGGAAACTGAAGCTCAGAGAAAGTAATTTGCCCAAGGCGACATCTGGAAGGTGGAAAACCCATGGTTCAGTACCAAGGTTTTCTAATTTCAAAGTCTGTTATCTTTCCAAGATAGATTCGGTTAAATGATTGAGGGAAACTGACTACAAGAGTACTTACCCGCAGTGGAAAGGATGGTCATTCATTTACTATCAGTTTTCATTATGATATTGCCCTTTTTAAAAAAATATATTTTTATCGATTTCAGAGAAGAAGGGAGAGAGAGGTAGAAACATCAATGATGAGAGAGAATCATTGATTGGCTGCCTCCTGCATGCCCCCTACTGGGGATAGAACCCGCAACCTGGGCATGTGCCCTTGACTGGAATCAAACCTGGGACCCTTCTGTCCGCAGGCCAACGCTATATATACGCTGAGCAAACTGGCTAGAGCATGACATTAGTAAGGTGGTTCCTGTAAAGTACACAATTTGACCCTTTTGAACTTATACAATCATGTTTTAAAATTTTCAAAATGAGAGACAACTTATTTTAAAGAAGATACCTGATTCATTGTCAAAGTGTACGTGAGAGAGAAAATGATTATGTTCTGTTTTTATTTAGTTTTTATTTAATTTTTATGACATGAAAAGACAACCTGTACTGAGGGAGAAATCGGGTCTATCGTTGATTTTTCAAAATCTGTTTTCATATATATTGTATATATATATATAATCCTACCATTGTTTATTTGGACTCAAAAGTTGCTGGAGAAAGAGTATTTTTAAATATTTGTAAATATATTTTTACAAAATATATTTAGATCTTTTGAATCCAGCAAAATTTACTGGCATTTATGTAGTCATTGATTATTCATTGCTCTTTATTTAACTATGTAGACATTTATTTTAATTAACATTTCCTTGAAGGACTTCTGAAATAAATGAGGATAATCTCAGCATGCCCAATTTTATTGTACAACTGGTAATGGTTTTAATTAATCCAAAGTTATCCTTTGAATCAACATATTTTATCACTGAAACTTCATGAAACCTTACAATGATTTTTCAGATATACCCCTTCCCTAGCCTACCACCTATTTTTCAAAAATCACAACGCTAGATTGCTTTCATATTTGCTATTCATGCAGTTATAATAAAAAAGCAGTTTAGATTTCATTGATCAAAATTATCTTCTGCTTAGCATATGAGTCAAGTTTTTGCTACACTAATGTTGCATAACAAACAGCTCCAAAATCTGTTTCATGCTTATGCGTGATCAGATTCACTGAACTCCAGGCTGTGGATGGGGATCACATCACCTCATGACTCCAGGTCACAGACTGAAGGAGTAATGATTATATGAAGCAAGTTCTTCACATGTTGGATGGTGGAAGCTCAGGAGAACTGTGGGAACTCACTATGCATTTTTATTCCTCAGTTTAGATTGGTATACTGTCACTTCTCCGTATTCATCCCATTGGTCAGAGAGCTCTGGCTCCCTAGTAAGACACTGCATGATCCTGCATTCAAGAGTGTGAATGTATGATTCTGTTCCAGTGACAGAGTGAAAGGTTGAAAAAAATTATAAATATATATAACTACACTTCTGGGTTTATAATTGTATAGATCGCATAAACTTTTTGATTTTTCAGGTTGTTTACAAAAGCGTGTTTAATATCTTAAGCAGATATTAAATTAAAATTATCTGCCTTCTGCAAACTAACCTTATTAAGTATAGGTGTGATAGTACAGGAGTTAAAATAGACTGGTAATTCTACCTTGCTAATAGCTTTTGTATGATGTTTGTAGTTTATAATTATTATTTCACTTTTTTTTTCATTTGATCCACAAATAAATTAAGTAATGGTGGGATCCTTATTTTATAGGTGTGGAAATTTTAAAAAAACACAAAACTTTATGGCTTGACTAGTTACAGCTAGTAAGTTCAAGTCCTAGATTTTCATAGACTTCAAACACAGTTATCTTTCCTTTATTCTGTACTGGATCTTTTGTTCCTATTTGCTGCCTTTTCAAGTTCAGATAAATAGCAGGAATATTTCTGGACCACTGCCAAAAATCAAAGGAAGCTATCACTACACGTTATATTCCAAAAATTATTTTATTTTCTATGTATTATCTTCAAATGTGTGTTTGGATCGATGCAAGAGTATCCTAAGGGCTGATTCTAACTAAATTTTACTCATAATCACTTCAAAAACAGATAAGTGTATTTTCTGTGTAGTTTACCAGAAACATATTAAACTTCATTATGTATTTCAAAAGTATGAGAGTACATTACTGTGGTACACCAGTGCTTTTCAAATTAGTCCTAGTGTAACTGCCTCAGATTGATAATGGTTGCTTTATGGTTTGAGGCTCTACATATGAATTTATTTGGGAAAAGAAATTGGCGGGTGGGGGGGGAGTTCTGTTACAGGGAGTAAGTTTCAAAAATCACTGTCTATACTAAGTATAGTTGGGATGACAATGTTATATCTTCAGGAAATCTTTCATCACAAAATGTTCGTTTTCCACAAATATTCTATATTATAGTAATCATATATAATAAAAGAGAAACATGCAAATTAACCGTCCCTCTGCTACGCTCAAGCCAATCAGGAGCGAGTAATCAAATTAACCCAACTAAGATGGCAGTGGCCACAGAGCTGGAACGAGCAGGAGGCTTGGGTTGCCCCCGGTGATGGAGGAAGCCAAGCTTCCCGCCAGCCCTGGCCAGCCCTCAGCTCACTCAAGGCTACAAAGTTTCAATTATAGAAGATAAATAAATCCCAGATACCTGCTTCCAGCTGGCTGTGGCCTCCGCTCAAGGAGGACCTGGGATCCGCTCAAGGATACAAAGTTTCAATTATAGAAGATAAATAAATCCCAGATACCTGCTTCCAGCTGGCTGTGGCCTTGCTCAAGGAGGACCTGGGATCCGCTCAAGGATACAAAGTTTCAGTTATAGAAGATAAATAAATCCCAGGGGGGGAAAAAGGAGAGGCTGGGAGCTTGGGTCGCCAGGAGGCGTGGCCAGCCTGAAAATGGCCATCAGCCCCTCACCCAGGCTGGCCACACCCCCATGGGGTGAGGGTCCCCACTGTGGGGCTTGACCAGCCTGCAAACAGCCATCAGCTCCTCACCCAGGCTGGCCAGGCACCCCAGCGGGGACCTCCACCCTGAAGGGGGTATTGCCAGCCTGAAAACGGTCCCCAGCCCCTCACCCAGGCTGGCAAGGCACCCCAGCGGGACCCCCACCCTGATCCGGGACACCCTTCAGGGCAAACCAGCTGGCCCTCCACCCGTGCACCAGGCCTCTATCCTATATAATAAAGGAGTAATATGCAAATTGACCCTAACAGCAGAACGACTGGGAATGACTGGTCACTATGACACACACTGACCACCAGGGGGCAGACGCTCAATGCAGGAGCTGCCCCCTGGTGGTCAGTGCACTCCCACCGTGGGAGCTCTGCTCAGCCACAAGCCAGGCTGATGGCTGCCAGCACAGCGATGGTGGCAGGAGCCTCTCCCACCTCCTCAGCATCGCTAAGGATGTCTGACTGCAGCTTAGGCCTGCTCCCCACTGGCAAGTGGACATCCCCCAAGGGCTCCTGGGCTGCCAGAGGGATGTCTGACTGCCAGCTTAGGCCCATTCCCCCCAGGGAGCGGGCCTAAGCCATCAGGTGGGCATCCCCCGAGGGGTCCCAGACTGCAAGAGGGCACAGGCCAGGCTGAGGGACACCCCCCCCCCAGTGCATAAATTTTTGTGCACCAGGCCTCTAGTTGAATTATAAAGGACCATTCTTCTGGAAAAAAAAAAGTCATGTTGTGTGTTGAATAATATAACTTGTTTACCTGGTTTTTGCTCTAACTATTGCAACAAGCCTTTAAACAATGTAAAAAAATCTGGTCTGACTTTTTAGCTGTGGATTTCTACTTCTTTTTTTTAAGATATATTTTATTGATTTTTTACAGAGAGGAAGGGAGAGGGATAGAAACATCGATGGGAGAGAAACATCGAGCAGCTGCCTCCTGCACACTCCCCACCAGGGATGTGCCTGCAACCAAGGTACATGCCCTTGACCGGAACTGAACCTGGGACCCTTGAGTCTGCAGGCCAACGCTCTATCCACTGAGCCCAACTGGTCAGGGCTGGATTTCTACTTTTATCTTGCACAGCATTCCATGTTCTCAAATCTATGGGCTTTTCTGGTGCTTTATTCCATTTCTCTGTTTTATGTTGTCTTTCATAATATGCAAAATTTATTCCTTTCCCCCATATCTCTTTGTTCTGATTTATTTCATAGTGAAAATAAAAAATTAATAGGCAATGATAAAGTGAATCTTACAGAGGCTATATGAACCCTATTGTTAGAAAATTAATTTATAACCAGCTCATTGTTCTTGCTACTTTATCCCCTGAAAGTGCAAAAATACTCTCCTTACAGCCTTCCCTGTTTATTTCTTTCTAGATGTCACCAGTTTAATTTAGGTGTTTTCCCCTTACTGATAGTAGTTAGTTTTTTTACATGAGCCATTGCTCTGGAGAGTGGTATTTTTATTTGTTTTAATAAAGTTAGTGTATTTAATGAATATTTTTCCCTCTTTTAAAGACTGTGAACCAGAAGAACTGACTGACTGGTCTATGGATGAAAAATGTTCATTTTGTAACCTACAAAGAGAAGCAGTCAGTGTAAGTTTCAGTGCTATGAAATTATTTCTAAACTATTTGCACAATTGTAACACAATTTTTAAACTTAATTTGTTTTGAAACTTTGTGACTTACAGTAGAATATAAATACTTGATTTTGGTAATGAGAAGAAAATTAAAGTCTCATGTTAGAAATCTAACATTTAGCTTATCTTGTAGGTGAAAATCCCAAACTACTCATCTTTTTTGCTTATTTCACATTTCTTTCTCATAGCTCCCTAACTCATGAAATCAGTTCAGATCTGTTTTGTATTTACATAGACAAGGCTGATGATCTTGGAGGCCTGGTTTGGTCTGAGACCATCCTACAGGCTGATTTCTCAGGAATCAGTAGTTGGAGGATAATGTGGTACTACATTTTAACTTTCTTCTTTCTCTTGAAGTCTTTTGGATATTGTAATCATCTCCTGTGTAAATTATTAAATATTAGTGTCTACTGTGAATAGGGTATAAACTAGACAAGCAGCATCTTCTTGTATGGTTGGATCCTAATTCTTTACGTACTGTTGAGAGAGGGCTGAGAGGAAATGAGAACTCAAGAACCTGTACCTGTTTTGGTCAGATTAGTAGGTAAACATAACTGCTTTGTTGTTAAAATTCTCATTGCTGGCATGTTATATAGTGAAATTATTCAGCAATATATCTTATCTGCTCTTCCCTCTTTTTTGATTATAGTTTTGCTAAAAAAATAAGGCTAAGTTGGCCCTCTATTAGAGCTAAATTTCTTTTTTCCTGACTCCTGTTTCAAATTTAATAATCTCTGTATAATTTGATATTTTTAAAAGATAGAACAAATGAGCATTTAGAGAGTTAATTTTTTTTGCCATTTTTAATGGAATCCCACAGTTAGAAAGTGATTTTTTTAATGTTGGTGTTTTTTTATATATATATAATTTTAGGATTGTATACCATCTCTTGATTCTTCACAGTCAACACCAACAGAGGAACTATCATCTCAGGGCCAGTCCAACACTGAAAAGATTGAATGCCAAGCAGAAAATTACCTAAATGCACTCTTTCGAAAGAAAGGTAATGTTGGTACACATTTTTTATGCTTCTGGTGTTCCTTATTTTGTTGCTGTTCTCAAGACTTCAGATGTTCTTTCATGTTTAATAAGTGATAGATATATTACATTGCAAAACTGTCTTTAGAATAAATTATAGCATTTATCAGCTGTTTCTTTGGTAGCTTGAGTATGCTTACTTGACATTAAAATGTCAGTATTCTTTTTAATTCCTGTTTATCTAAACTATATAAACCAAATGAGGCTTGTTTCATTTGTTACTTTACTTGCTACACATTATCAGGTAGAAGTAGCTTTTACATCTTCGTTACCTGGGGAAAATATAGAAATATAGAATCTTCCATTTTTTTGTTTTTGGCCATTTCTACAGTAGTAGTGTGTCTTAATTTTCACCACATAGTAAGCCATGGTGTAGAGGAATACAGGATGGGAGGGAGATCATTCTAACCCCAACTTCCAGAGATTGAGAAAAACATTACTGTCTTCTTCTAGATATTGACCCTGTTTTGCTTTTAATCCTGTTTGAAATTAGGTAATATCAAATATTTTCTGTTAAATTGTTAACTTTCAAGTTTTAATAATATTGAAAACAGTCCTCATCTTTAAGAAAGCAGGCTTTTGTATAATCTTAAATGTTAGGAGGTCTTTTATGTGTTGAAATATGAGAATTTTCTGAATAGAAGAATCACTAGTATATTAAAAGGCCTAACATAAGAAATACACACACACACACACACACACACACACACACATATATGTGCAGGGGACTGAAAATCTTTTCTTGTGTTACTGACATACTGTGTTGAGAAATAGGCAGTCTTTAAACAACAAATTCTTTTCTCAAATTTCTATCTGAACCAATATGAAAAATAGTTTACATGTTTTCTTTAAGAATTTTATAGCATTCGTTTTAAAAATTTTATTCTGCCAATATATTTACACTTACAAGAATTATATTATCAGATTTATATCATTAAGAGAACTAGAGTAAATGTACACATTTACACACATGCACACAGTAAGTTTCACCTTGGAACTCATTATTCAATCTCCTTTTCCTTTGAGTAATTTGTAATGGTCGCTGGAGTTATCAGTAATAATAACCTTTAATTTGGGATAGTATGGAGTTAACTTGTGCTCCATTGCCCTATTATAGTAATCAGTAAAAACTTGTGACTGTTTTGATGGATTCAAGCATCTGGATCTAGTGGGTGAGTATTCATGGATATTTAGTGACCTCTCCATTTGGGGATTTTTGGCTTTTTTCAAGGTTTTTAAAGGATCACAGTTTTTAAATGAAAGATTCTTATTAGTATTTTTGCTTTACTTTCGGTCTTATATTTGTTAATTTTTTTACTTTTAGTTCATAATTTTCCAGATTTAATTAAACATAACAATTTTTCTACTTGGGTTTTTGTTGTTTTTGTTTTGTGTGGGGTTTTTTTTAAATATATTTTTAGTAGTATTCATTTCTTTTTTTTTTTAATATATTTTATTGATTTTTTACAGAGTGGAAGGGAGAGAGATAGAGAGTTAGAAACATCGATGAGAGAGAAACATCGATCAGCTGCCTCCTGCACATCTCCTACTGGGGATGTGCCCGCAACCCAGGTACATGCCCTTGACCGGAATCGAACCTGGGACGTTTCAGTCCACAGGCCGACGCTCTATCCACTGAGCCAAACTGGTTTTGGCTAGTAGTATTCATTTCAGAGATAGGAAGGGAGAGGGGGAGAGATAGAAATATCAAAGATGAGAGAGAATCATTGATCAGCTGCCTCCTACATGCCCCCTAGTGGGGATTGAGCCCACAGCCCAGGGAATGTGCCCTGATTGGGAATCAAACCATGACCTCCTGGTTTATGGATTGATGCTCAACCACTGAGCCACACGAGCCAGGCAATTGTTTGTTTTTTAATTTTCTTTGAATAAAATCATTTTAGAGATTTCCAATATGTTCTGAGTAGGATTAGGCTAGAATAGTAATATCTTGTAAATAGTCTCAACATTTTCATTTGTTTAGTTAGTTCTATTAACTCTACTTTGAAATAAAAGGCCAAAAGATGTGTTTAAAAGACAGTAAGTACTTCTGAGTCTTTGGAGTAGCAAATAATATCTTAACAGTACGTCGTACTGGGTAAGTTTTTATTGGATTCCTGAAAATTTCCCAAACTTGAACATTTAGTTACTGGGTATTAGTAACATTAGTGTTACTGACACTTTAAAACTGTTACTATTTTGAGTAACATATGCATGTTGATCATCTTGCCAAAACGTAAGAAATCTGTTAATATCCTTATTGTAGCTTACTTATTATTTTTTCTAACAGTGGTTTTGGGGATGGTGATAATGAATGTCATCAATTATGATTGAGCACTAAGCCCTTTTTGTTCCTTATCTCATTTAGTTAAACAATGTTAAGAGGTAGGAATAGTTATCTTTTTAACAGGTAGAGACAATAAAGTACACAGAAGTTAAGTGTCTTTCAGTTCTGTGTTATGAACATGTGAGTCCTCAAGAATAAATTTTAAAAGGAATAAGATGTTCTGTGTGAGGAGCATCTAGATCCTTTTAAGCACTAAGTAGAGAAACCCTATTCTCTGCTACTTAGCAGCCTAGGACTAGAATTCTTTTAATTAGCTAGGCTAGAGGGGACCTATGAGAAATACTCTATATTTTTCATGGGTTTCCATTTTACCTTTATATGAACTGAATAGGTTTAGCGATTAGTTCCCTTATAGCAGCGGTTCTCAACCTGTGGGTCGCAACCCCTTTGGAGGTCGAACGACCCTTTCACAGGGGTCGCCTAAGACCATCGGAAAACACATATTTTCGATGGTCTTAGGAACCGAGACACCACTCCTCTATCCATCTACAGGTGGGTCCGCCCACATGCAGATACGCCCACATACGAGTAACCGGCGTGATGACATCATCTCACTCACCACATCACATACACCCCGTACAGATACAGGTGTATGTGACAGGGTTGGCACCATAATGTACTTATGCGGACCAGTCACACATGTGTAGAGAGCAGCTACTGTGTAGAAAGCAGCTACTGTGTTGAAAGCAGCTACTTTGTTAAAAGTAGCTGCTGTGTTGAAAGCAGCAGTATTGAAGGTAAAACGGCACTTGATGAATTATAATTACTGGGTAAATGTAAAATCATGTACTGTAAAATTATCAACTACTGCAAAAAAAAAAAATATCTGTACCATGGGAACTTAATCTGGATGCTGATCGGTCTTTTTATATTCAGCTGTGGTTGATGTGAATACTGCCCCCTTGTGATAGTAACAGGTATGTAAAAACAACAACACAGAGAATTGTAAATCATAGGAAACTTTAATGAACTGTATTGACTGAACTATGCCATATATCATCTTTTGTATTATTAAAGCTATTGTTATATATTATTTTTATTAGCAAACCATCCCATGACAATGGATCGTGTAGAGAAGAACGTTAAGAAAAGAAAATATAGTGAGGATTTTTTACAGTATGGTTTTACCTCAATAATTACAGCAGGAATTGAGAAACCGCAATGTGTTATTTGTTGTGAAGCTCTATCAGCCGAATCTATGAAGCCGAACAAACTAAAACGCCATTTTGATAGCAAGCATCCGAGCTTTGCCAGCAAGGGTACCAACTATTTTAGAAGCAAAGCTGATGGACTCAAGAAAGCCAGACTTGACACTGGTGGCAAGTACCACAAACAAAACGTAGCAGCCGTTGAAGCTTCATATTTGGTGGCACTCAGAATCGCCAGAGCTATGAAACCTCACACCATTGCTGAGGATTTACTGTTGCCAGCGGCCAAAGACATTGTTCGAGTTATGATCGGAGATGAATTTGTTACAGAATTGAGTGCAATTTCTTTATCTAGCGACACTGTCCGCAGAAGAATAGATGACATGTCTGCTGATATTCTTGATCAGGTAATCCAGGAAATTAAATCTGCTCCACTTCCAATATTTAGTATCCAGCTTGATGAATCTACAGACGTTGCAAACTGTTCACAGTTACTGGTTTACGTGAGGTATATTAATGATGGCGACTTTAAAGATGAGTTTCTTTTTTGCAAACCTCTTAAAACGACAACTACTGCCCATGATGTATTTGACACAGTTGGTTCATTTCTGAAAGAGCATAAGATCTCTTGGGAAAAGGTTTGTGGTGTTTGCACAGATGGTACTCCAGCTATGCTAGGATGTCGATCTGGATTTCAACATTTGATACTGAATGAGTCACCAAAAGTCATCGGAACTCACTGTATGATTCATCTGCAAATATTAGCAATGAAGACGCTGCCACAAGAGTTACAAGAAGTAATGAAAAGTGTCATAAGTTGTGTCAATTTTGTAAAGGCGAGCACTTTAAACAGTCGACTGTTTTCGCAACTGTGCAACGAGTTGGATGCGCCGAACAATGCTCTGCTATTTCACACTGATGTGAGATGGTTGTCGAGAGGAAAAATTTTAAAACGTGTTTTTGAGCTTCGTAATGAACTCAAAACGTTTTTTAATCAGAAAGCAAGATCACAGTTCGAAGCACTTTTCAGCAATAAAAGTGAACTGCAGAAAATAGCTTACTTGGTTGACATCTTTGCTATCTTGAATGAGTTAAATTTATCACTGCAAGGACCAAATGCAACATGCCTCGATTTGTCTGAAAAGATCCGATCATTCCAAATGAAACTTCTGCTTTGGCAAAAAAAACTGGATGAAAATAAAATTTACATGTTGCCTACCTTATCTGCTTTTTTTGAGGAACATGACATTGAACCAGACAAAAGGATTACGATGATGATTTCTGTGAAAGAACACTTGCACATACTTGCAGACGAAATGTCATCATACTTTCCAAATCTACCTGACACCCCATTTGCACTTGCCAGAAGCCCATTCACAGTCAAAGTTGAAGATGTTCCTGAGACAGCACAAGAGGAGTTCATTGAACTTATTAACAACGATGCAGCGAGAACTGATTTCTCTACAATGC